CTGCCTGTCCTCCTCTCTGCAACCTCTTCAGGGGATTCAGGAGGGGATGGCTGGGGAACAGCTCGGAAACCTGTGCAAAAAGCAGCCCGTCAGCAATTTCCTTGTCATCTCCCATGTGGCTTTGCAGGAAGGATGACCAGTTAGCCTGCACCCCAAACTCACCTGTGGGCAGATCTAAAAGCACATAGGATGGACCAAAAGCCCTGAAGGCTGCTCTCTTTCACTTCTCTGTTGGCTCTTAGACTGACACCAGGCAGAGGAGGCTGTGGGGTTCTTGGTCTGGTGCAGCTCTGGGATGCGGCTCGTGTTGGCCCCACTGCAGGACATCCTCAGAGGACAGCAGATGCTCTTCCACCGCCCCTTGGAGAGCTGCAGCCCAGGAGCAGGTCTGCAATCCCCAGCGGGATGGGAGGCAAGAGGAGGGACGTGGGGTCCAGGCAAGTGGAAGGAGGACCATCAGCATGAGGACGCACCGAAGCTGAGGGGCTCCAGCCAGCAAAATGGAGGACGGAGAAAGGAGGGCACTTGAGAGCTACATGTGGGTGAAGAAAGGGTTGAGAAGAGGCTCTGGGGTGGGGACCTGTAGGAGAGGATGGGCGCCAAGGGATGGCTAGGACTGGGAAATACCTTGGGTCAGGAAGGGTGGGAGTCCCTGTTGCCCACCAGCCACTTCTCCACCTTCTCTCTGCTCTCAAGACCGTGGCAGACCCCAGGAGGGCAGTGTTGGTGGAGAGAGCACCAAAAAACACCTTGAAGCTTCAGTTGGAAACCACAGCCCCTCTAGCACCCACGTGGCCCCAGAAATAGCCCTTGGCACCCGTGGGGCGGCTGCAGCGTAGCTGGCTCCCGCTTCTCAGGAATGGCGCGGGGCGGAGGGACAGACCCGGTGTGCATGTCTCCAGGTGAACCTCGCTGGAGCTCAGCCTGGCGTTGCAGCCCAGCACGCTCCGCTGCCAGTACAAGCCCAGAGCGCTGCGCCAGATGATGACTTGAGTTAATCATTTGGCCCGGGTTCAAGACTTCTCATTTTTTGGCTGCATTCTGTAGTTTCTGTCTTGCCTGGCTACTTTCTGCTGTCACCGAAGCCTTTCTGCTCCAGGGTGGCCGAGTTCTCCTAACATTTTGCTCTGCTTGACACGGGTGCAGTTTTCTTGCCTTCCCTGCAAAATATCTGGGGGGGGGCTTGTACAGCCCTTGCATACCCACTGCCCCAGCACACGCTGCATCGACCCTGCCCCGTCTGTGCACGTGGGGCAAAGCAGTGGGTTTGCCCTGCCATGGGCTGCGACTGTGTGAATCCTCCTCTGCTGCTTCACTGCGGCATCGTCATAGAGCATGTTCTTTACTTCGCTTGTCCCAGCTGGGGTCCGTGGATTCAGCTCCTCCATGGGGAAGGGGTTTTGGCCCCTGCTGCGCGCTCCAGATCCCAGCCCATCGCCTCTCCCTTGAGCCTCTCACAGGGAATCTCCTCGGAGGTGTTTCACCGTTTGCCAACTCACTGTGGCAGCACTGCAGCTGCCTGCCTCGCCAGCAAGAGGGTCCCACGAACCCTGACATCTTATTTTCCTTAAAAGCAGCATTCTGCAGGAAAGCTGGAAGCTGCGTGCAAGCACCCATGCGTGTGCAGGCACAGGCACGTGTGGGGCTGCATTTGTGCATCCATGTCCATGCTCACGCATGCCTTCCTGCTCAGGCATCAGTGCCCAAGCGTGGGACAAACTCCGGTGCTCTTCCACAAGCCTTGCTTTTAGGGTAAAATTTAGGGTAAATTAGAGCACCCCCATGTGCATGTTTTTTAACCTGTCTTAGCCTAAGGCCCACCTAGCATCTGAAGGGAAAAAACCCACCCGTGTGGTGTCTACATCTGCAGCCAGAGACACCAGGATGTATTTCACGTGCTGGCTTGCTCCTGCCATCTGCTCGTGATTTGCTGTTTGTGGCTGCAGACGTATTCAGCTGGGCCTCATTTCTATGAGCTTTTTGCAATCATTTCACAACCCCGACACCACGACCAGCACAACAAGGAGTCCCGCAGAAGGCAGGGCCGGCCTCACAGTGCTGGGTGCAGCGTGTCCCCAGCAAACACAGGGCTGCCTCCAGCCCTCCCCAGGCAGCCCCGCCTGATTCCCAGTGCGTGGGTGTCAGTTCCCAGGCTCCCAGCAAAGGCCCAAGGCCAGAGCACAGCCTCATTAATAAATGTGGTTTAATGCTGTTTTCCCAAAGCAGCGGGGAGCACAGAGCCCCTGCTTTGAGCAAGCAGTGCTTGATCGAGGAGGGTCAGAGCCGGAGGGACAGGCTCGGCCGTGAGCAAAAGATGCCGAGTACAAAACCGTTTTGTGTCCCCGTGTTTGCTGGCACCTCGGGTCCTCCCAGTGGGGACGGCTGAGCAAACAGGATGGCTTCACTTTGCTGGGCAACGCAGTTGCAAGAGAGGGGACTTGCACGGTTCCCCTCCCCTGTGCCAGCAGCTCCCAGCCCCTGCACCCCAGGGATGCAGCGCCCAGGGGGGCTGCAAAAGCCAGGACCTGGGGGGTGACTGTGTGTGGGGTAGCAGAGCAGCCCCCCCATGCAGCCCTTCCCACCCCACCAAAGCCCATCACAACAGCCAGAACGCGTGAGTTTGGTTGTAAAGGATATATTTTATTGCCTCACATCCTGTCCAAAAGCCGGTCTGGCAGACGGCCGCGTGCTCCCACTTGGAGAAGAGGGCAGCACGGAGCCAGCTCAGCGCCCGTCCCATACGCAGGGCCGGTATCTTGGACTTCACAGTTTCTTTACACAGCCTTAAAATAATAGACCGAAACGCCCGCCTAATAAAGCAATCAAGCCAGATAAACGTGCTTGATATAAACACTTCAGCTACAAGCTTTGCTCCAGCCAGCACGCAGCCTTTGCTGATACTGTTAAGCCCCACAAATCCTATTATTGCTATTATATGACTTAATAGACCTTTACTGACCAAAGTCCGCGTCTGAAGTCTCCGCAAGCAGATAGCACTGCGGCTGCGGTACAGCCCTTCACTTTGCTCCTTCTGGGCATGCTGGAGGGGGTTTGCAAGCACAGGGAGATGCCATTTCCCCGCCTGTCCCCCCCTCTACTTGCAGTCTCACCTTATGGTGTCCTTGGGTTAGTGACTTCTCATTTTACTAAAGGTTTGGGATAGAGCTGCTCTCAAACGGCTGCAGCATGTCTGTGATGAATTTTGCAAAGTCTTCTCTTCCCCCACCTGCACAGCCTCATGTGCAGGTTTCACCATGTGGGCTTTTCAGACTTGGAAAGAAAGTATATGAGAGTTTCTTTTTTTTCTTTTGGGAAAACTAAGCATTTGGCTTAATAATGTCTGAATCTCTGACAACAGCAAACCCAAGGGAGATAAAAGGGTAAAATTCCACTAAAATGAGTAATTTGTTCTGATTTCATTGCAATTTTGTACCTAAAAAAAAATAAAAAATCAAAGGGACAAATCCTGACTATCTTTCTCCAAACTACACTGCAACAGCACGCTATAAAAGCCAGAAGGAAAGCCTAGAACAGCCCAGACATACAGCCACACTGTCACCTCTGCTGTCCCCAAACTCTCCATCTCAGCTGCTATTTAATTGCCCTGCAAGGAAGCGCCCAGCAAGCAGCCCAGGCAGGAACACGGGAACATGGGACCTGCCTGGCACCCCACAGCCCCGCAAGCCAAAAAGGAGCAAACAGGTGGGAGGGAAATGAAATGCAGCCATTGTTTATTTGGTAGAAAAATAAGAGCAATCTTCCAGAAAAGCCAGCCTGCAGCATAAAGGGTACTCTGTGAAGCACAAGGAGCCAGAAGTAGAGCCCTCCAGGAAGACTGAATGAAAGCACAGTCTTTAAATATAAATACAAATGTGTAAAAACCCCCAAAAAAGCCATAGGAAAAGCTGCCATCCTGCCAGGCTACAGAAATCCCCTCTGGTGGGACGGCTGCCCACTTCCCTGCTATGGCTCAGCTCCCATGCAGGTCCAGGTCCCCGCTGGCGTGGCCGTGGGGCGAGCAAGGACCTGGGTGCCCCCCGCCGCCAAGAGCACCCAGCCGGTGCAGGGGGTCCCGGCTGGGGGGATCTCTGCGGAAGCACGGCCAGCGCCGAGGGGGCTGCGGAGCAGAGGGCAGCCCCCTCGGCCAGCCCCGTCCTCGCCCCAGGGCCAGCGGGCAGGTGGGCGGTCTGTGGATGTCCATTGCCAGGCGGTGGGTCGGTCATCGGTGGGGAAGGCATCTGTCCTAGGGGAGAGGAAAGCAAGGAGGGGCCGGTGAGGTGGAGAGGGTTTCAGCAAGAGCGCCCACCCCAGCCGGGGGGCCGTTGCCTTGCACGATGTGCCTTGCCCGTCCCCAAGCATTGCCTTGCCCCAGCAGCTCCAGAAAGAAATCTGATTTTAAGGCAAGCACAGACCAGGAGGGAGCTGTGCCCTAAGTGCCTCCACCCTCCAGCCACGGCTGTGGCAGCCCTCCCAGGCTCGGCCCCGGTAGCTGGACGCCTGCCCTCCCAACAGGGAAGGATCTGGGATGGGGGGGCAGCACCCTCACCTCATTACCCTGCTGCCCCCCGCTCCCCCCTGCCTACCTCTTCAGGCCTGACTTAGACCCGCTGCCGCTTCTGCCGCTTGGGTCTGCCCCCGGGACGCGGGGCATGTCGCTTCTTCTTGTCCTTGTCCTTCACCTTCTTGTCCAGGTTCTGCATCAGCTTCTGGACAGCGGGGTCGGTGGGAGAGGCGCAGATTTTCTTATTCCTCTTGGTGGTAAACCTGGGGGTGCAGGCAGAAAGGTTTGCTGGGGGGTGGGCAAGGGGGAGGACACGGAGAGGGAGGGCTTGGCTGGAGCCAAACTGCTCTGGATGGTCCCGACTGCAGCGGGGTACTCACACGACAGCACGCAGCAAACATCCCAACTCGGGTCCCTGGAGGCTGTAGGACTTCACCCAGCTGCTGGGGAGGGCTTTCCGGCTGTTCTTCAGGCAGCAGTCCGGGGCCGAGCTGCCAATGCCTGGGGGCAAGGAGGGGACATGGGATTTTGGACGCCCACTGAGCCAGGGCACCTTCGCAGCCCCGGGGGAGCACAGCACAGCCAGCTGACGGCACAGGGCTTGCTTGGTGTCATTTGTAGGAGAGATGCTGGGGCAGCACGTGAGGGTGGGAGCTCTCAACCCCAGTACCCACTTGCAGGTTGGACCCTGCCCCGGGGATACGTGACACCAATTTCACTGCCAGCGGAGGGGAAACTGAGGCAGAGACAGGCTCCTTGCAAAGGGACTGAACCTCGTTCTCCCGCCTGTGCTGTTCTGCTGCCCCGCCAGCCACGTGCACACACACACATGCTCCCAAGCCAAGCAAGCACTGCAAGACAACACCGCACACCAACCAGGCATGCACACACACACATGCACCCCGCTACACACAACCGCACTGCAAACCCCACACCCCCAGCCATATGCACGCACCCAAATGCACCACAAACACCCACCGTACACTGCTACCGCACCACCCAGCACCCCACTGAGCACCCATCTCCGGCCCCATCCCACCCACAGGCGGGCAGGAGGGCTTCGCGCCCCTCACCTTGAGCCCGGGCGATGAGGAGGGTAGCGGCCAGCAGGAGCAGCAGCAGGTGGAGGCGCAGAGCCATGGCGGGTGCCAGGGGTGCTGAGCTGGGCAAGGCTGGGGAGCAGGACGCGCACTGCTGCCTTGTGCCGAGGCTGCTCCTATTTATCTCCAGACACTTTGCTTTCATTTTCGGCCAGCCTGGCAGGCAGCCCACCAGCCAGCAGAGGGCTGGGTGATGGAGAAGCGGGAGGGTGGGGGATTCCTGTAAGCTGCGAGCCCCCCTTTACGGACGCGTCCTGTCTTGTTCCCAGTTGCCCATCACGGCGCGGGGTGCCAGGTGGGGGGCACTCTGGAGACACAGCCCCCATCATGGCTAAATGAGTTTGTGGGCTCCTGTTTCCTATCCGGTCCTGCAACCTGCCGCTACCTGCTCTCGGTGGGTTGGGTGTTGCTGCTTGCCTGTTTGCTCCCCAGACAGGGACCCTGGCGGGTGGCCAAGCCATTAGGGAAACCAAGGAGTCAATCTGTTTTGCTTCCCCACCTCGTGCTTTGCTGCCGAGCCAAGCCACCCACCCCACACAGGTGAGAAGGGGCTTGGGGTGACCCCACATACCAGCTCCCTGAGCATCCATCCCTGTCCAGCTGCCTCAGGGGCTTCCCCAAACAGCTGAACACATCTGTAGGGCTGGGATATGCAGGGGCTGGACTGCAAATGGGACTGGGGGAGATAGCACAGCCCACTGTGCATTGGTGCTGATGCCAAATTGTGGGGAGCTGAGGATGAGTGGGGACCACGACCGGCTGGAGGAACGGGCTGACGGGAACCTCCTGAGGTTCAACACAGACAAAATGTGGAGTCCAACAGGTGGGACGGTGGGACCCCATGCAGACAGACAGGTTGGGCATCTGGCAACTGGCAAGACGGGGGGGGGGGGCAGCTCAGAAGGGGACTGGGGGACGGGACGGTGGGACCCCATGCAACAGGTTGGGAAAGGGGGGGGGGGGGGGGCTATGCAGAAGTGGACTCGGAGGAGCTGAATAGGACCCCTCAGGGCACCCCTGTGGTGGCAAAGGCCACCCAAATAGATGGCCATGTGGCTGGACCAAGCCCTGAGCAACCTGGTGAAACACCAGTCCTGCTCTGAGCAGGGGATGGCCAGAAACCTCCACATTTTCATGTGATTGCCAGGGCATGGTCTGGAAGAGACCAAGGATGGAGGTTTCACAACCACTTTGGGCAACCTGTTCGAGTGCTTGAAATGTTCTCGTGTTGAAAATATTTTTCCCACTATTTAATTGGAATTTCCCTTGATGCATCCAGTGCCGCTGCCTCTTGCCCTGCCCCAGGGCCCCTGCGAGAAGAGCCGGGCATCAGTGTCTCTCCAGCCCCCCCGGGCAGCCAGCAAGGAGCCCCCTTTGCCGTCCCATCCCCAGCTTCACCACCCCACCCCTCACAGCCCCTCTTCGCCCGCCCTGGCCTCCAGGTCCTCGGCCAGCCCCGCTCCCACTGCTTGTGTCAGCCATGCCCCGGGAGCCCCGACGGGACGCAGAGCTGTGATGGGGTCTCCACGATGCCAGTGGGGACCGAGCCCCTTCTCCGGCCCCGCTGCCTGCACCCTGGGGTGCAGCCCCAGGACTTTTCACCGGTTCCTGATAAGGACCCTCATAAACAGTTATCAAGGGCAATGAGTAACCCAGGGGGAGACCAAAGTCCCGGCTGCTGTAGAAAGCAGAGCGGCGATAAGATGCCCAGGCTCTCGCCCCCCTCAGCGGGGAGGGGGCAATGCTGGCGTCATGGGGCGGGGTGCTCACCAACAACTGCCCTGCAGCCCTCTCTTGGGCAAGGAGATGGGCAAGCTGCAGTGGCTTGCTGCCTTCCTCGGGGACAAGCTGGGTGCCTGGGGCAGCACGGGATCCAGGGCCGCACTCCTGCGGCTTCCCCCATCACCCATGCAGAAGAGCAAGGGAGCTCTCATGCTGGGGGGTACCCGTGTGCCCAGTGCCCACATGGGGGGAGGCAGCTCTCCACACACTTGTGCAGCACCGAGGTCAATGTGGTCTCAGGCAGCAGCCCCTGGGGCAATGCAGCAGGCACGGGCCATGGGCAGCAGCGGGTTGCCTGTGGGTGCATCTCCCCAGGGCGCCTGGCAGCACGGGAAACTGGTCCCTGGAGGCATCCTGTGTGCTGTCACCCATCCCTCCAACCCCAAAGCACCAGTGGCATCAGGACAGGGCAGGAAAAGGAGAGCCACACTGGCTCTTACTGCCTTTCCAGCCTTTATTTGTGCAACCTCTCCAGGCAGCAGTGCCCAGCTGAGCACCTGGATGAACCCTTGCCCTTGGCCCATCTGGGACAGTGCCCCACTGCAGATCCGTGTGCTGGAGAAGCTAGGGGAGCACTGAACCCATAGCCATCCACCCCGGTGAAGTGTGTCCCAGAGCCTATGTGGTATGAGGACAAGGGATGTGGAGGGAGGGGAGACATGTCACAGGTTGCCCCCAGCACAGACCGGTCCAGCCCGGGGCTCCCTCCACTCCTGAAGGAGTCCAGGAGAGCTCTGTGGTCCCAGAGCGGAGCCCAGCTCCCTTCCTTGCCCAGTCCCAGCCCCAGCCGCAGCAGCAGGCACCTGGAAAGTCCCTGGCTCTCTGCGTGTTTTCAAGACACCGCAGCAGCATCCTCTGGCCAGAGGCCAGCCCCAAATACGGTCTGAGCTGCTGAAGAGGGTCAGGGCACACGTTCCCTTCACAGGCATCAATCTTTGGCAAGCCTCTGGTTGCTGCAATTTGCACCCCGAAGAAAGCAGCCGGCTGAGCAGACCCTCACTCCAATCCCTCCAGGGAAGGTGGATTGGAGAGGACCCAGGAGGGAACAAACTAAGGGCAGGGGTACTTGGCCATTGCTCTGGCTGAACAATGCAGACACACCTGCACGCCTGATCAGCAGGGCCCCATGGAAACTGGCACGGAGGTCTGTGCCCCATCTCCCCTCCTGCCTCCCTTCCCTCAGAGCCCCCAGTTCACTCCTTCCTCCCCAAGTGCCTTGCTCTGTCACCTGTCCCCCCAGCCCAGGGAGAAAGCAGGGAGCTTCTGGCAATGAGAGAGGGGTGAGCACCCCTGTTTGCAGGGGGGGTCACAAGGCAGATCAAACTTTTGGGATACAGAGGAGCTGCCAGGGGTGGGGGGTGGAGGCAAGGCTTTTTAGGGCTCTCCAACACCAGCAGCCTCCAGCAGCCACTTGGCCAGGCACAATTTCTTGCATGCACCCACATAAACTCGTTTCTCACCAGCTTGGGCTCCTGCAGCCTCCAGCCTTTTCCCAGAGCTCAGAGGTGCAGGATGGAGACAGACACAGGGAGGGGGACATAACCAGGCAGTGTGCCCCTCTGCAGTGTCTCAGCTACAGGGAACCCCTTTCTGGCCCCAGGGCCCCTGTCAGACACCGTACAGAGCCTTTGCAACAGGGCTTCGTGCAATGGTGCCTCCAGCTACGCCCATGCTCGGGCAGCCCAGGTCCAGCCCTCTGTGCATCCCTGCGGCGGAGGGACCTCCAGACTGCAGGAAGAGGGGAGGGTGTCCTAGGCAGAGACTACGGTGTCCCCTCACACCGAGTGTGCAAAAACAGTGGGACCACAGCAAAGGTCACCAAACCGCCTTGCTTGTGAGCCTTTCCCAGTCAGTGAAACCACTGTGGGAGCTTGTAGGGACTCACTCAAGCCTCCATCCCAAATGCTTCCCATATTCGCACCCCACACCCCAGCACCAGAGCCTCGAGTTCGCCTACAAATTACTTATCTGGCTTCCAGCATCGCAGTTTCCTGGCATCTCACCCCATAATGCCAGGAGATCCTCTCTCCTGACCCCACAGCCCTCTGTTCATCCAGCTCTGGGCTGCCCTTCAGCCATGCAAAAGCCCCCAGCTCTTCCCTGCTTAACCAGACGGCGGGGTCTGCTCCCCGGGTGGCTGGGAGCAGAGGCTCCTTGGGTGCACTCATAGACTGAAGGCATCAAGGGGAGCCAACCAGGGGGACTGGGAATTTCCAAATCCTTCTGGATGCTGCCTCCAAGTTAAAGTCACTGCTAACAGGAACAGGGTCGCGCAGCTCCGCTCAACCCGCTGACCAGCAAATTCCTTCCTGCAGAGGCCCTGATTCCCAGGACCCAGCACAGAGGTAGTTTGCAAAGCCCAGCATGGAAAACCCCCATGACTGGGAAGGGGAGCGGGCTGCCTGCCAGGCACACCGTATAGAAACGCTGTATAGTGAAATGGTCCTCAGGAAGCAGGGAAGAATTGCTGGAAGCTGGCGGCACACGAGCTGGGCAGGCTCCCCGCTGGCTGCTGCGCCGTCCCACAGCGTTCAGCTAGACTGATGGGAAGAGCAGGATGAGCACAACGTGCTGGGAAGGGCAGGGAAGCTGGCTCCCCGGGCGCCCCCTCCCTGCGCATGGGCTCTGGAGCCGGCTGGGCTTGGAGAGGGTCTTCTGGGCTTGGAGAGGGTCTTCGACCAGGAGAAACTTGCCCCCCACCCCGCACGCCCCAGGTGGAAATTTGGTTTCCCAGCTGGGTGCGGGTGCAAGGAGTTAACCCTTTGGTTGCTAGCACACCTACAGAACAGCTCAGATGCTTTGGGGCAGGACAGGCTCGCTGCTGGAAAATGTGCAGGGGGCTAGCGAGCAGGCTGAGAGGGACCTGAGCGGGTCCTGCCCCATGGCAAGATGCCCTCTTCCTACAGCATCCTCTGCGTGGCATGCAGCGCTGCCCGTAGTACTCCCTCAGACCTAAACACAAGGAGCCAGGCAGGATGTGTGTTTTGTCTCCCTGTGGAAAGCACGTGGTCAGGGTTGCTCTGCTCTCACCCCTCCTGATGCAGGCATTACCCAACACTCAGGATCCTTTGGGCTCGGGCTGTTGTGAGTGTGCTCATTTGTTCACTGCGTCACCAGGAAATACATCCAGTGCTGAAAGGGGTGATGGCTCAGAGCCTGTCCCTCCGTGGCACAGCAGAAGCCTCCATGGGGTGGCCGAGGTTCATGGTGGAAAGGGGACACGGCGAGAGGCTCCTGCTCTTGGCAGAGATGCTAGGCCAGAGAGC